TGAGCGGAACATTCCATTTCTACACAATCATGGTGTTCTAGTCAGCCAAAACAGTGTGCTCAATCCTCATTACAGATGTGGTGTCAGAGTCTTCAGTTCTCAGCTACTTTATCTGGGCTCTATAAAGGGTGGGCATTGTTGTTCTTTTGTTACAGTTATAGGAAAAAGCTGGAGAAAGGGAGAAGGTGTCTCGAGTGGGGTCCCAAGGTAAGGAACCACGTGGGAGAGCATAACGAGTTTCATAGCAGGTGAGGGTGACCGAGGCAGAGGGAGTAACACGCCAGGCAGACAGAGCTTGAGTGAGAAGTTTATTTAGAAAAGGTAGTGAAGGGGAAGGTAAAGGGACATAGAGGCACCAGGAACAGAAGAGGAGAGAGAGAGGGTGGAGGGAGGGAGGGAGGGAGGGGGAGAGAGAGAGAGAGAGAGAGGAGCTGGAAAGAGAGAAAGGAGCAAAAAGCAAAGAAAGTCAAAAGATCTTAAGTGGGCAGGGTCTGTCTTTTAAAGGGGTCCTTTACACCTTCCTGCCGACTAGTACTCATGGGACCCTGGGCTGGCAAAAGTACTGCCTGAGTGCATTCTGCTAGTGACAAGGGTGAACCAGCATGTCTACATCCTTACAGGCATTATGATCTAGAGATTGTTCTTTTATTATTTTTTAGGCCTAGAAACCACAAAATAAAAATTCATTGAGATTTTAACCCTGAAGGGACTGAGTATTAAGTAAATGTGGACTTATCAAGTGTACAATGCATCTCAAAGACGAATTCATATAGTTTTCTATTTATTTTTTGAGACAAGATCTCTTGTATCCCAGACTGTGTAGATGAGGTTAGGCTGAGATTACAGGCATAGATTACTATACCCAGTGTGTGAGGTCCTGAGAACTGAATCTATATATGGCTTTGAGCCTGGTAGGTAAGTACTCTACCCAACTGGCTATATCCCTTCCTGATAAGAAGTAGCTATCAGGGTTGGACTATGGCTCAGTGGTTAAGATGGCTGCTCTTCCTGAGGACCAGAATGTGATTCCCAGCACCTATGCTCACAAGCAGTTGTAACTCCAGCTGTAAAGGGTCCAGTACCCTCTTCTGGCCTTGAGAGGCACACACACACACACAGAGAATACAGATATACATGCAGTCAGAACACCCATACTGTGCCGGCTAGTTAATGTCAACTTGATACATGCCAGAGTTATCTGAAAGGAGGGAACCTCAATTGAGAAAATGTCTCCCTAAGATCTGAATGTAGCACTGGGTAGTGGCAGCACATGCTTTTAATCCCACCACTCGGAAGCAGAAGCCGAAGCAGGTAGATAATTCGAGGTCAGCCTGGTGTAGAGTGAGTTCCAGGACAGCCAGGACTACACAGGGAAACCCTGTCTCAAAAAATCAAAACCAAAACCAAAATAAAACAAGATTGGGCTGTAGGGCATTTTCTTAATTAATGATTGATGGGGAAGGGCCCTGCCCACTGTGGGTGGTGCCACCCCTGGGCTGGTGGTCCTGGGTTCTATAAAAAAGCAGGCTCAGCAAGCCATGATAAGTAGCCAGTCAGCAGCTTCCATGGCCTCTGCATCAGCTCCTGCCTGCAGGTTCCTGCCCTGATTGAGTTCCTGCCCTTGCTGCTTTTGATGATGAACTGTTACATGAAACTGTTAAATGGTTAAATGAAATAACCCTTTCCTCTCCAAGATGCTTTTGGTCATGGTGTCTTAAGACAATTTTAATGACTAACACAAGTAGGAGTTAATTCCCCCTCACTTCCCCCCAACCCCTGCCCCCAGACAGGTTTTCTCTGGGTAGTTTTGGAGCCTGTCCTGGAACTCTATTTATAGAACAGGTTAGTCTCGAACTCAGAAATCTACCTGCCCCTGCCTCCTGAGTGCTGGGATTAAAGGTATGCACCACCACCCTGTTGGAGTTAATTTTTTAAAATTAATTTTATTTAATGTGTATGTTCATGAATGTCACACTGGGTTCGGGAAGTCAGGGAACAACTTGTGGGAGTTGGTCCTCCCCTTCAACCACATGTGTGCCAAGGGTCACACTGATCATCTGGCTTGGTGTCAAGGGCCTTTACCCAATGAGCCATCTTGATGACCCAAAACAAGCAGATTTTGCAATTTGGGGTCAAGGAACAAGCTCTTGTCACCAAGACACTGAAAGATGGAGTTTCTGGTCCCTTGACAACTACATTTCAAATAGATGACTTTCAGCTGGACCTGGAGGCACAGATTTGTAATTCCAGCTACTGGCATGTGTAGAGCCCCTGGAAGTGGAGTTAAAGATAATTGTGAACCATCATGTGGGTGCTGGGGATTGAACCTGGAACCTCTGTAAGGAGCAAGCGCTCTTTTTTTTTTTTTTTTTTTTCCATGACAGAGTTTTTCTGTGTACCACTGGCTGTCCTGGAACTTTCTCTGTAGACCAAGCTGGCCTTGAATTCAGAGATCTGCTCCCATAGTGCTGGGAGTAAAGGTGTGAGCCACCATCACCTGGCTAGCAAGTGTGTGTGTGTGTGTGTGTGTGTGTGTGTGTGTGTAACATGTGTGGGAGCATGCACAGCCCCCAGCTCACAAGTGGAGACTGAAAAGTAGTGGCTCAGGACTTTCAGCACCAAGTTCTCAGCACAAAGAACATTTATTTGCCCCATGGGACAGAGGGCAGGGAGTAAGAGACAAAGACGGGAAATAGAGGGAGAAGGGAACAAGGGATGTTTGTCCCAGAGGGGCAAAGGACAGAGGAGACAGACATGGCACATGGGGAAACGGCACTTTATAAAGGTACGAGGAAAACCCTGTGTTGCTTGGTGTTTAATTGGACTGTTAATTGGGTGAGCCAAAGGGGACTTTTGATTGCTAGACTTCCTTTGGTAGCTTGGTAGTCAGCCTCACAAGGAGGAAGTGGCCAAATAAGGGGGAAAGCTCCAGGCTAGCTTTGGGATGTAATCTAATGGTTTTAGAAAGTAGAGGGAATGGGAAAGAAAGACAAGGCCTGCCAGAGCAATGCTCACCACGCTCAAGCTGGCCCGAGTCCCTTCAGAGACGGGGACAACTTGCTGGAGTTGGTTTCCCTTCCACCATATGGTTTCTGGGGTTCAAACCCAGGCTCTGTGGCAAGGGGCCAAGAATAAAGTCTTAACTCCTTTCCAGGTGTCAGCTGTGTTTTGTGTCACCCACCACTCCCCCACCCCTAAAAAAGGAAGGAAAAAAAAAAAAAGAAAAAGAAAAGAAATTCAAGGGCTGGAGAGATGACTCAGTGGTTAAGAGCACTGGCTGCTCTTCTAGAGAACCTGGGTTCAATTCCTAGCACCCACATGGCAACTCACACCTGTCTGTAACTCCAGTTCCAGGGTTCCTGATGTTCTCACACAAACATACATGCAGGCAAAACATCAATTAATATAAAATAAAAATAAATTTTAAAAATTTCATCAAAGAGCTGAGGGAATAGCAGCTTTGAGGCAGAGCACTTGTAAGCTAGAGGCCTTGTATTGGGGCTGGGGCTTTCTGGAGACTTCTGACCAGCGTGTGGCCCCAAGCTTTCTTAACCATTCTTGTCCTGCAGCAAAACACTTTTGTTTCAGACTTGAGACAAACAGGAGAGGGGCCTATTTAACATAACGAAGCAGACCAGGCTGCCAGGGTCTCCCTCAGTCCCTACCTGTTACAGGGTATGGATGCAGCATTTTTCACCCTCTATCCTGAATTCTCCAACACAGGGGCTGGGCTGCCCTTCCCCCTGAAAGACCCCCAAGAGACCCCAAGAGTTTGGAGCCTGTCAGGGGGGAAGGCCCTTGCCCCCAAGAGACGAGACCAGACCACTAGATGCGAGTGCAAGAGGTTATTTATTGTTTACACAGGTACCTGTGGACGCTTCAGTCTTTCGGGGGACTGAGCGTGCTGAGGTTAAAACTCAGGCAGTTTATATAGGGTTGGGGTGGCAAGAAGCAGGCTTACAGAAGTGGAAGCATGGTTACAGGGATTTCATTGTTTCATCTAAATGTAGCAGTTGTAGTTAACCAAGGACAGTTGGTTATTCGGGATGGGCACAAAGAATACAAAGAATTCAGTTATGACTCAGCATCCCAGCTACCGTCCTGCTGACCTTGCTTTGGTCCAAGCTGCAGACCACAGATATCTGGTAGGCATTGGATGAGAGCAGCACCTGATTCCCTCCTGTACTTTTCTCATAACTTGACCTTGGCAATTAATGAGAGCAGCTCAAACAGGCAATAAGCATAGTGGGGGTCTTTCACCCCTATATAATCCAGGCATAGTGAGTAGCCTTCCCTTTTTTTGGCTGCGGCTCCTGGTTCCCCTCTCCCCACAAGGCCCTGCTCAGCGTGGTTGTCTCCACTCTGAGATCTTTCAGATGTCCCTGCCCCCTGGCTGTGCTGTCCCATATATCTACAATAACTCTCCTCCACCACATCTAGGAGCAGCCACGTCCTTTCCTTTCCTTTTCATTTTCTTTTTCATTCAACTAAATTCGTGAAACAATCATGTTAGAAGAATTTTTTAAAAAGGCAGGCATAAAATTGAATTAAAAATAAAAGGCAAGCATATATTTTAAAAGGAGAGAAAATGAAAAATTCTGTAAGGGTTTTTTTTCTTGCCGCTCTCATTTGTGTTGGCTGGACCATGCGCATCAGTTTCCCAAGCGCTGGCCCATCCGAGGCCCTGGCATCCACGTATTGCCCAGCCCGGGCTGCCTGGGCTCAGTACCATTCGAGTTTCTAGCCGTGATACCCGGATAGGAAATAGAACATACTGAGGGTGGCCACCGGGTATGAGGACCGCCTGTGACCGGCTGCCACAACTAGGGCGGGCCCAACGCTCAAAGCCCGCGCTCAAGACCACGCCCTGGGCCCGCTGACGTCACCATATTGAAGCTCGCGCACCGCGCTTCGGGGAGGGGCTGCGTGATGACGTTAGCTGCGTGCGTGGCTCTGCGTTCTGCCAGTGATGCTCATGTGCCGCTGTCAGCCATGGTTGTGTTGTACTCGTTCGTGTGTGCTGCATCGCTCACCGTTTCTGCATCCACGGCCATCGGGTATCAGGAGTCATGTCGGGCTATTCTGAAGCCAGGTAGGGGGGCTCGGTGGCGGGAGGCAGGAGGTCAGGGGGCGGTGGAGCAGGGACGGTTTCCCAGGGGGAGACACGTGCCTCAGCGACCCCCGCCCAAGCATAGAGGGTCTCCCCTCGAGAGATTCTGTCACGGGAGAGAGTTTCTTGGGGCTATAATTGAAAGATAGACACAGGCCTGGGTTGTGTGTACCTTTGTCCCCCTTGTAGGTGTAAATTGAGGCCAGGTGGATGAACTCATAACGTGGAAGGTCTGACCGAGCCCCTCTGGAAGGTGACCTGGTAAGTCAATTGTGAAAGCCGGGCTCTGCCTGTCTAGAACTGGGCCCTCATTTCTCTGAACCATAGTTGAGTTAATGTGTGGAGTTTTCCTCCAGCCTCGAAAATACATCTTGAGAAGATTAAGGAAGAAGAGACCATTTTTTGGTTTTTGTTTCTTTAGGTGTGCATATTACGTTGTTTCTGTGGTCATGAGATTTAAGAAACAGTTCTAAAATTAGTGTCACATAGACTAATGAAGCAGCTTATATTGTCTAATCTTTTAAATTAAATGAGATAGCCGCTTCCGGAGAGCCTTCCTTACGCCCTTCGGCAAACTAGAGATAATCTGGGGTCTCTGGAGCTAAACTCGGTGTCTCTAATTCGCCTTCAGGACTAATTCTTTCCTCCCGAGTTCTCGGGGGACTTTGGTTGTGCAGGATTTGAGTGGTGCCCTTGCAAGCCTCCAGCGTGCTTGGGTCTGCAGTGACCCTGTGCATTCCTATAGTGCTTGCCAGAACAGTTTTGAAGTGGTTTGAGGCCTTGCCCTACCCTCTCCAGAGCAAGGTTATAGAAATTTCAGACAATATAGCAGACTCCTGCCACGGTGAATTTCAAGTGAATAGAATTTACAAATGCCCCGCTTGTGTGTGTGTGTGTGTGTGTGTGTGTGTGTGTGTGTAACTGATGAAAAGTTTTGCACAGTTGTGTGGAGGCAAATAAATCATTGAATATTTATTTTCTATGCTCCAGGGTTGGTACAAACTATTAAGTCCTTAAAACAATTACAAAGTACATGGCATGAGAATCAGAGCTTGGGCTCCAGAATTCAAGTGGGTTCCATATGTCCAGGGGTTTCCCAGCAGGAACTGTCAGGTTGAAATTTGATAGCTGGTATCTCCATCCCTATAGCCTGTGCTGCTTTCCAGAGAGTGGGTAGCTTGGGTGGAAGGGTTTGTCCTGCTCTTGGTGTGGGAGCTGTGGGGTAAATGATGCAGACAGTCTCCTGCATACTGTGGAGGCTTCCCAGCTCACTGACTCTTCCTTCAGTCTAGGAAACCCATGGTGCCGGAGCTAGAAGAGACCTGAAGTAACACTTCAGTGGTTATCAGGCTGCCTCATGGAACTTCTGAACAGGTGAGAATGCAGGAAGACAGGTCACTTCTGGATTTTTGTTGCTGCATTGAGGACATGTCTCCTATAAACCTAGACAGGCCTCAAAGTCTATATAGCCAAGGATGGCTTTGAATTCCTAGTCTCACGCTTCCACCTCCAGAGAGTTTGAATTATGGGACTGTCCTGATAAGCCTAGGCTTCCTTTTGTTTGTGTTAGTTGTCCATCAACCACCAGGTACTTAACAAACAAACCAAAGGCAACTAGGCAGTTCACTCCTTTAATCTCAGCACTTGGGAGTGGGAGGCAGGAGGATCTCTGGAAGTTTGAAGACAGCCTGGTCTACAGAGAGTTACAAAACAGCTGTAACACAGAAACAAAAACAATAACAACCAAAGGGGAAAAACCAGTGGCCTTCCCATAAGTCATGTGACTGGATCTCAGAAAGAAAGGTTAGCTGCGCTAAAGTTTTTAAAACTTTCAAAACTTCTAGAATCTGGGCTCCTTGGGCCCTGATACTTGGAGATGACATTTGATTGCCTTTGTGGTTTGAGTTCAGCATGTACATGATATGTCTAGCTGGAATGGGTGTGGGCAGCTGCAAAATGTGAACATAGGCTTTTTGGCTCACTGGGTGCAGTCGGGACCAGAAACTTGGGTTAGGCTTTGCTATTGCCCCTCATGGCAGTGGGCATTTATGGCAGCCCTTGGTTTTGTGGTGTTTCCTGATTTTCAGCGCATGGTATTTCTAATCTCTGCAGGTGAGGAAAGAGTCTAAAGGAGTGAGACTCCAGCCGTGCTGAAAGACCAGATTTGAAGCTGCTCTCTAAAAGGAATCTGCAGTCTCTGGCTCTTGGCCCAAGTTACTGTGGTTCAGGACCAGTCCTGTGTGTTTGGCAGACACGGTCATCCCAGTCTCCAGTGTTTGAATAAAGACTCTGTGCCTAAGGTAATTCTGGCATCTGAATATAATAAACCACAGAAAATGGAGGTGTCTAGAGGAAAGCAGACCTGCTGTCCAAGCTCTCAGGAGGTGAAGACAAGAAGATCATGGATTCAAGGCCAGCCTGGGCTACAAAGAGACCCAGTCTCCAAAAAAGATAAATAAATGCAGTTTTACCTGATGCGTCTTAGCCTGTTTTTTTCCATTTTTGTGAATTAAACTGACTCTAGAAAACTCAAGTGAACCTAGGTCGATGGGCCACTTGTGGTTTTGAGGCAGGGGCTTACTCTATATCCCAGGTATCCCTTTGAGTGGCCACTTGGGACTTGCACTTGGTTGAGTCACTGAGGCTATGTGGGAGGGATGAGAAGCTGAGGAACTACCCTGAGAGCCTAAGGATCTGCTGCTCTTGGTTTGTGGCTCTGCAGTCAAGGGTATATGCTTCCAGTACCCACATCAGGCAGCTCACAGCTGTAACTCCAGTTCTACAGGGTGTGATAACCCTCTTCTGGCACCCCTGTGTCCTACCACCCAACTGAGGGGGCTTGGCTCAGTGGTTAAGAGCTGTAGCTGCTCTTCCAGAGGACTTGGTTGGGTTCAATTGGCTTACAACCATTTAAAATTTGTTCCAGGGGATCCAATACCCTCTTCTGGTACCTCCTTGGGTACAAGTACACATTTGAGGCAAAAACTACATTTTTAAAGTATTTTAAGACCCAGCTCTTTCAGGAGGCAGAGGCAGGTGGATCCCTTGAGTTTGAGTTCAGCCTGGTCTACAGAGTTCCAGGATAGCCAGGGCAACACAGAAACCCTGTCTCAGCCCCATCCCTCCCCAAAAACATACAAGTTACTTCTTTGCCAGTTATCTAAGTGTCAGTATGAATAGGAAGCCAAGAGTGATGGATCCCCTGAGGGTCAATCTGTTAGTGTAGTCTACCCATAGGTGTGCATACAGTAGGACTAGTTCACACAAGCTTTATTGTCAGGAAATGGAGTGGGCAAGGCCTAGCAAAATCAGCCATTGAGGGTACAGTGAGTGAATTAGATTTCATTATTACTGACAGTGAACAGTGACCCTGGCCGACCCTGTTGAGTACAACAAAAACTACCCTAATAGATACTACCATACATGCAGGCAAAAGGAAAAGTCCCACCTACCCACACACATTCAAACTTTAAAAATAGGGTTAAAAAAACTAGTTCAGAGGCTGGAGAGGCGGCTTAGTGGTTTAGAACACTGACTGCTCTTCAGAGGACCCAGGTTCGATTCCCAGCACCTACATGGCAGCTTTCATATCCTGTAAGTCCAGGATCCAACACCCTCACACAGACAAACATACAGGCAAAACAACAAAAAGGAAAGCTGCGATTCAGTTTAGGGGGAAACGGGTACTTAGTTAGGCAAAGACCAGAAGTGTGTGCGCACATACATATAATTGTAGATGGCCACTTTGGCCCTGAGCTAGATGATGGTAAAATACCAGTGTTTCCTCAGTCCCCAGCAGACTTGAGTGGGTGGTGGCCCCACCCTATTATCCTGTCTGCATGTTTGTTGAGTTCTGCTCTCTGACTATAAGGACCGTGTCATGAGGCAACTTCAAGTGACCACAACCTGTCCACAGTGACCAGCCATTTCACATGCTGAAAGGACCCTGGGTTGGCTCCATCCAGGAAGGAATTACATGTGATGCCATCTCCATGGCTCCAATAATGTAAAATGAGAGCAACTCCTGTGTGGGTCATGGGAGTCAATGCAAGCAAGCATGGTTGTGCAAGCCCACAGAGTGGGAGAGGCTGAGTCATGTGTTGATAGGCTGGGGAAACAGCCAGAGTCTAATACTACACCCACACGTCAATCTTTGACCTAAGCATGGTCTTGGGATTTTTAAGTGGTTAAGGAGAAGAAAAACCTAAAGATACACTATATCATGACAGGTGAACATTTTTTGTCGATTATAGAGTTCTGTGTCTCAGATTTTACTGGTACTCAGCCACGTCACTTCTTGATTCAATCAGCACAAGTCATAGGTCTTTTTAAGGCCTGGGGTTTTGGGAAATGAAACTCAACGGTGGGAGTCCCCAGGTTGGGGAAACCCTACCAAAGCACTACCCCAGGAGGCTGGGGATGGAGCGTTTCCGTGCCAGGCTTAAAGGATGGCCCCAGGGTGAAGCCAGGGAGCCCTGCTACTGGGTCTGGAGTACTTCTGGCCAATGGCTCATTTTGCCATTAATGAAATCTGCCTTTACCACATGGTGGGTAAGAACTTAAAATTTTATTAGGTATGTTGCACTATCAAGTAATTTTAAAAATAAAATGAAATGATTGAAATACAATTTATAAGCTGGGTGATAGTGGCACACACCTTTAATCCCAGCACTCAGGAGACAGAGGCAGGCAGATCTCTGTGAGTGTGAGAGTCCAGCTTGGTCTACAGAGAGAGCGCCAGGAGAGTCAGAGATACACAGAGAGACCCTGTCTCAAAAAATGAAAAAAAAAATTAAAAGGAGATAAAGAAGGAGAAGAAAGAAAAGACATACAATAGCTAGGTATCTGTGAATACAAGAACTCTCAAAGTGACCTGAAAGTAAGTCATAGTTGGGAACAAGAGGGCATGCCATCTAGCCTCCTCTCAGAATGAGGGAAGGGAGCAGAGAGGGCTGCCCCCTGGGGCAGACCTTGTAATCTGGAGGACTGCACAGAGAAACCTGAGTAGTCAGCTAGCCATTTCTAAATGCACCATTCATCCGTAAGTTCAACAATGAGTAGCAAGTCTTTCTCTGTACCGTCAGCACCAGATAACAACACGGAACTTATTCATTATGAAAGCTTGGCCTGTAGCTTAGGCTTGTTCTTACTAGCTCTTATAATTTAAATTAACCCATATTTTTATTAACCAACATTCTACCACATGGCTTTTACCTATCTCGTAATGTGTGTCCAACTCATTCAACTTCTGGCTGACTTGCCTATGGCCAATTCCAGTCAACTAATCGCTGGCTCCGCCCCCTGGTTCAAGGTATAACCTTATTGGGCAGTCTCTGGAGTGGCAGAGTGTAATCAAAATATCCCACAACACCCACCATCTCATCTGCAGGGTCAGGCAGGAAGCCTTTATGTTTTAAACGCTATTGTGGCCACTCCTGGCTAATGCCAAGCTGTGGGGTGACAGACATACAGCTGGGTAACCATGACTATGCGAAGAAATATCTTGAGCTGGAGAGATGGATCAGCAGTTAAGAGTCCCGAATGTTCCTCCTGAGGACTGTCCACCTCCCTAAACTTCTGCAGATACCAGGGACGTACACAGTTTTCTTATATACATGCAGACGAAACACTCATACACATAAAATAAATGTTTTATTTTAAATGAAAAGAATCACCCCTCCTGCTGGGCCTAGTACTACCCTGGAGACACTGTGGAGCTGAGGCAGAAGGCCAGCTTGGGCTACAGAGTTAAAGGGAAGAAAGAGAGGGAGAGAGAAAGAGTGGGAATTTCTATGAACGTCTAGAACGTCTATGAACGTTCCAGCTGCCAGGGCTGGAAACCAACCCTCAACAATCTTGTGGTGAGCAGGAGCTTCTGTTGTTTTGAGACAGGGCCTTGCTGTGTTGGGGCCTTCAGCTCATGTTGACTATGTCGGCCTGGATTTTATGGTAACCCTCCAGCCTCAGTCATCCCCTCTTTTTGGTTTTTTGAGACAGGGTTTCTCTGTGTAGCTCTGGCTGTCCTGGAACACGCTCTGTAGACCAGGCTGGCCTCAAACTCAGAGAGCCACTGCCTCTGCCTCCATAGTGCTGGGACTAAAAGCATGCATCATCACACCCTGTTTCCCAGCAACCCCCTCTCGATACAAGGTGTCATACAGCCCAGACTGATCTTAAACTTGCTCTGTAGTAAGATTCTGCTCCCTCTCCAGTTGTTGGGACTGCAGGCATGCACTGTCGTGACCGGTTTTTATAGGGCGCTGAAGGTTGAACCAAGGGCTTGACCAATGTTGGGCACACACTCTACTAACTGAGCCACAGTCCCAGCCTGCCCTTAACCTTTGGAGTGCTTGGGATTGCAAGCATGTACTATTATGCCCAGCTTGAAAACACCTTTGTGAAGAACAAGGATTCCATCTGAACAGAGGACCAGACCGCTAAGCACGGACTTTGTGGGCCAGGGAGCAGGAAACAGTGCTTGAAGCACCCAGACAAGGGAGCAGCAGTGGGCAGGGCCAAGCTCCCCCAGCAAAAACCCACTTCCTACTTAGAGCACCACTACAGGAGTTAGGCAGGGCTGGGCCTCCCCTTTCTGTCTTCCCCTTCACCTCTGTACAGAAAGCTCAAACGCCCTGGCTTGGGGTGCTTCCAGCGGGCAGGATGGAGGACGAGGATGGTCCTGAGTACGGAAAGCCTGACTTTGTGCTTTTGGACCAACTGACAATGGAGGACTTCATGAAGAATCTACAGCTCAGGTAGATGGGGAAAAGGGGGGATTCTGGCTTCCTTTCCCTCCTCCCCTCCCCTTTCATCCATGCAGACCTGAGGGAAGCAAGGAGAAGGTACATTGGCCCCATTATCAGGAAAGGGGACAGGGTTACACATACCTAGGCAATACAAGCTGAAATGATAGTGTCTCCGGGAGATAATGGCCACCCAGAAAGCAACCAGCTGTCAGAGCTGGAGCTGCCCACTAGCTCTCACCACACCCTAGTTGACAAGATGAGAGAGTGATGCCCCTTGAGAAAGACGGGGCAAAGGCATGGGGACCAGGAACTATACTGCCTTTTTTGTTTGTTTGTTTTTTGGGGTTTTTTTTTTTCTTGTTTTTGTTTTTGCTTTCTTTCTTTCTCTCTTTCTGTAACTGCAGATGTATCTTCCAGGGTCTCATGTGGGACCTGGCTCAAGCCTCCTTAGGAACTTCAAAATGAAGTTGGCTCCACCCTAGGGTCTCAATAATCACAGCAAGTGAACATGATGCTTTGGGTTGTTCATGAGAGGGGTCACAGGCTACGACTGGTAGAACCGATACTTCCCACTGAGGAAGGCAAGGAGGGGTCCAGGCATGTCATATGGCCTTGTGTGTGGTTGGACTTCATGCCTGCCTCCTGGGGAAGTCTGCTGTGTGCTAGAAGCTCTTTAGAGAGCACTTGAGGACAAGAAATCACCCTAGGCGCTGAGGTAGAGGCCACAGG